GAATAGATGAAGGAAGGAAGGAAGGAAGGAAGGAAGGAAGGAAGGAAGGAAGGAAGGAAGGAAGGAAGGAAGGAAGGAAGGAAGGGAGAGAGGGAAGGAGGGAGGGGGGAAGGGAAAGAGAGAGAAAAAGATGCCAAGACACTACCTTTCCTCAAGTTTGGAAAAACTTAAATTCTTGAAGAGGATAATAATGATGGGTGAAAATATACATATGAGACATCATAATCTATAAAACATTTCATACTCAGTTCATTTAATTGGCATAACACCCTTATGAGGTAGATAGGTGCCCATTTTATAGATAAGAAAACTGATCCAGAATAGTTGAGTGTGTTGTGTTGAATTTCCCAGATAGTAAATGGCAGAGTCAGCCAAATCCTCTAACCCCCAACTCTCACTCTTCCCACCTCATCTCACAATTCTGAAATGGTCAAGAAATTGCTTGGGAAACATTTGCATGGACCCACTATGGAACATGAAGCATTAAAGTAATGTCTCTGACATGTCAAAACAACTACCAGTCTGATCATTTTTTAAAAGCAGCCAAAACTCTGAGGCTAACCCATGTCAAATCTTTCTAACTTTGGTGAGATCCTGACCAGGGTTATTAGAAACTAGTGGACTATCTCAGAATCTTGTACACAAGGTTGCAGTCCTTTTTAATTTTGAAACCTAGGTGCCTCTCTGTTCTTATCCTCCTCAATCTTTCTTTAGTATACTAAAGATATTACTGATTCACTAGCACACTGCAGACACTTAACACTAATAAATGTGTGGACTGTGCCACTGCAGTGACAATTTTTTTAGTTCCTAAAGAACATAAAGTTAATAGGATATAACCATTTGAGTTATATCAACAAAGGCTCCATCAAACTCATTTTCCCCATACTAGAATACAGCCTCACAATGAGTACCTTTCTTATTTGTTCTGTATCATGCAGTCAACCCTGAGAATCCCTCTCCTTTCAACAAACTTTTTAAGTACCTCTTCTTTCCGCATGCCTTGTTTTAGCTACTAGGACTTAACAGAAACCCCAAAGCAATGTTACAATGTGCTTCTAGTCACTCAGGAAATACATCTAGGTTCTCAATATCATTATTAAAAAATGATGCTAAAAGATTTTTAATTAAACATTTTTTTAAACCTGTCAGTGTTTCTCAGAGTACCTGCCTAGAGAACATGAACAGTGATCAATCATGACCTAATAATTACCTTAAGTAACACTAAAACCTAGTCTTACTAAGGCTAAAAGCCTAGTCATGAAGCAGCCTGAACTATGAAACCAAGAGAGCTTCAGAAAAGATCTTCAGGAATGTGCTTTGATGGCCCAAGATTTTGAAGAATGAATACAGAGGTATGATCTTTGGGAGCTGGGCACTGACATTCTGGACCAAGCTGAAAACACATGACACATGGTTGTGTTAAGCTTTCATAGGAATTCTCTCAGACCGAGGACAGGTGACCCACCCAATTTTTTAAGATTCACCAAGGTCACCTTTTCATCACAGTTTGCCTCATCTTGTAAGTCAGGATCAACAGAAAAGGAATCTGGAAATCTCCTTAACCAACCAGGTTAGAGACATTTAGAGGACATGTATCTAAAAACAGTGAAATAGAAAGACAGGACTAGCAAACAGGTTCAGATCTTACCTCTCCTGCAGGCCACACACCCTTAGGCAAAGAAATCCACCATCTCCCTTTCATTTCTTTCAGTCCCCTCCTTCTCCCTCTGGGTTTAGTTACTCATCCATAAAGTAATGCAACTAGACCAGTTGATAACTAAGATTTCGTCCACCTGTAAAAAGTCTAAGTTTTTATTAAAACAGAACAGGCACTTGATTGAAGGGTGTTTAAGCAGAGCCCTGTAAAAACTGGGAAGGAAGAAGTTCAAGCAGAAAAAAAAAAGTCAATTGCTGTGAAATAAAGGCAGTAGTGAGATACCAGAGATGTGATGGAACCAAAATGCTGCATGTTTTGTTACTGGCCCCATGATCCTTTTAAACATATAAACTTCACAAAAAGATAGACTCATCACAAAACTTGATACTATTAAAGGCATAACCAAACTTTTATTGCATGAAAGAGTATCTTTGTTTAAGATCTACACCATCTTCTCAAAAACTTCAAATCACATCCTGGTGTCTGGGAATTCCTCAAAGAAATGTTAGTGAAAAATGGTTAGTAACTATCCTATGCGCATTTGGAAATTGGAAATATGAATAGTAAACAAAAGAATATGTTTTACTTTAAGTGTTGATCAATATAACAAAAATAGCTACTAGTTTATTATTATCTATTTGTCTTACATCATGCTAATAAGCACTTTTCTCTCTTTATGTTCTTAAAACACAATAGAATAGATTCCCTTGATATCCTATCAACTTTGCAGTTAAGCAATCTGAGTCATGCAAAGTTAAGTGACTTCCCCAAGGTCACACAACTAGAAAGCGGTAAAGCCACTGAAGGAACTGAGACAGAGTTCTGGCTCTCCCCAGTTTTTTTTCTTAAAGCTCTATACAAAATATGAAGAAAACAAATGATTTTTAGCTGCAGATATGCTTATTTTTTAAAGACTAACATAAAACACTCAGAGTTCTTTTCCAGTTTCTAATGATGCAATGTTTGCAGGAGGATCGTGTCTAAAATGTGGTACTAAAATACGGGCATCTACAAAATTATCATACTTTATTTCATCTGGTAAGTCAGAATCAATACAACAGGAATCTAGAAATCTCAATCTTCCTGGCTGAGGACATTGAGAGGACATCTATGTAAAAATGATCAAGTAAGAAAGACTGGGAGTAAGGACACTTGGGTTCAGGTGATAAAAACCTGAATAGGTTCTGAAAAAAATATCCGTAGTTATGGAGCAGCAGGTGGATTTTACCTTATAGCTAAGATTTGCAAAATACCCCTCAGCTTCTTTAGTAACCTTACACATGTACAGTAAAACTTAGGGAGCATGACTTTTTTTTTTTAACACAAAGGAAAAGAGAGAAACTGACAGAGAACCACACACTATGGCAGTTGTTTTATAGCCTGTGGAGTCAGAATCTCCTGGATCTGCCTCTCAGCTCTGCGGCTTTCTGGCAGTAAGGCCACAGACAAGTCACTTCATTGCTCTGGGCCTCCATTACCCATCTGTAAAACAGGGAGAGTGAGAGTACTTACTTGGAAGGGGTATTAGAAAGTTTGAATGTCAATCAGTGTAAAAAACTTAGAGCAGGGCCTGCAACATACATGTGACATGTTATTACAACTACACATACTATTATTATATGTTACTATTATAGAATGTAAGATGGGTGAACATAAACTTCCAAGAACATAATTTGGTGACTAAACGATCAGTCCAGAACATCTGTTTTGCTTGTATGGGGACAACCTAGCTGTATCCCAGATGAATCCTGACAAGATTTCCTTTAGCTAGGCACTGACAGGCACATATACTGAATCCTATGGCTACATTTAGGTCATGAGACATAGATAACATAAGCACTGCGGCAAGCCCTCCACAATAACAGTAAGTCTGCTCTCTGTGTTACCAACACTGAGAAAAGGTGTTCAAAGGAAAATTATTAACAGTCTCCCCTTGCCTCCCCCCGACCCCTTCCAAAGATTTTCACAAGACCAGTGGGGTTTGCTGGCGTTTCAAACTTCTTCCCAGGAAGTCTGAAATGGGTGCTGCTAGGAGTTGATTCCCTCTAAGAAGCTTATGCTCAGAATTGAGGAAAGAAAGCAGATTAACCATTTGAATACATGCCACGGCCCATCCACAGCCTTCCCCTTTCTCCTCCATAAATGACAGCTTCTACATTCCCGTCCCGTCAATCCCAATAAATGATCCAGGGAAATCAATTTATTGCTTTGGCTAATCCTACAACAATAGGTGTTTCATTTTCATTGTGGGGCAATTAAGTTGTCCAACGGGAAGGAAGGAACAGGAGGAGAACAGGGGGGAGGGCTCTGCCATCCGCACAGACTAGACCTGCTGAGGCAGCAGCGTTTCTGGGTCTGTCCGGTGGTCCGTCGCACGCAGCTCCCTGCGGCTACCTAGCAACGCAAAGCCAGGGACAGAGACCTTCGACTCCCTGCCTCCTCCTCGGCCCATTCACCCCGGGGTTCTCCCTCCTTCTCTCTCGGTCTCCACCACACGCACACACTCTTCTCCCCTCCCCCCTTTCTCTCCTCCTCCCCTCTCCCTTTTCCTCTGTACTTGTCTTCTTTCCTCCCCTCTGTTTTTATTCTCCTCTTCCTTCTCTTTCTCTGTCACTTTAAAAGCATAGACTCTCCGACAACTTGAGAGAAGTTTAAAGCGCTTTATACCAGAAACTTTCCCCATTCGAGCCCTCGAAACTGGCCGCGCAGACGGGTCCCATTGATCAACACAAAAGCCCCCACCTCCCGGGTAGAAAGGAAAACCCTTCAAGAAAACGCTCCAGGGTGTCAGCCTCTCCCTTGGCCAATCCCCACCTCGCGGCCTTATCTTGGCTCCTAAACGGTCTGTAACGAGAAGCGCTCTCCTGGGAGTCACCGCGGGCCTAAGTTTAGTTGCGGAGGAGGGGTAGGAGGCCCCAGCGCGCAGCCGAGCGGGCGAACTGGTCTCTCCCGCCGCGCGCGGCAGGTGGAAGTCTGCGCGCGGAGCAGCGCCGAGGCACAGCTCGACCCAGAGAGAGTAAATCCGTGGGGGAAGCGGGCTGCCCACTGGCGGGTAGAACTTCATTCTCCGGCTTACAACTGCAGAGTGCTTTCCAGAGGGTGGGAACAAAGGCGGGGTCCCCGTGGGGTGCGCTGTCACCAAAACCGGTGGCGCTGCTTTACTCAAGTTTGCTGCACGGTTCCCGGGCGGGCGAAGCAGGGGCGCTCCCGCTTGCCCCTCTCTGGGCAACCCGAGCGCCCCAGGGGAGCCGCTCGAGCGCCGCCGCCCGCCCGCGGACTGGGCCCTGCCGCCTGAGGCAGCCCGGCGTTCTGCACGGGGCTCCGGCTGGCGAGCGCTTACCTTGACCAGCGGCCGGCGCCAGGCAGGCGGAGAAAGCCAGCAGCAGCGCGCACGCCGCCGCCACGCGCCGCATCCCCACCCCGTCCCGGCCCCCGGCCTCGCCGTTCCGACCCGGTCAGGTGGGCGCGCGTCTCACGGAGCAGGGGCAGCGCCTCCTCTCGCCAGCGCTCCTTTAGGCCCGCACCTCCTCGAGTTCGCGGCGGCAGAAAGGCGGACCCTGCGCGGGAGGCCTCGCGTTTTCTACCCGCGCCAGTCCCCACCTTCCAGACAGTGCATAAAGCCCTTTAGACCCGGCCGCCCCGGAACTAGCATGCGGGAATCCAGCAGGACAGGCCCCCTGCCGCCCGGCCCGCCCCGCACACTTCGCAGCCTCGGGGATCGGGAGGGGGAAAGAGAGGACTCCAACACTCGTGCGCACACTCAAACACTTACCCATAGCCTCACACACAGTCACACACACTCCTCGTCGTCACACCAACTGACAGTCTCTCTCCTCACACGCGTGCATACACACAGTCACACGCTCACACGCGTGCACCTACCTCACAGCCACACAAGCTTAACACGTGCACGCAAACCTCACAGTTATACACTCATTCATACGCGCGCACACGCCTCACACTCACATGGGAACACTCACACGCGGGCACGCTCTGCCCTAGTCTCTCGGCAGGATTTGCCTCCGCAAGGAGGTCGGCTAGGCGGTCCCCGGGGAAATCTGCCAGCCACACAGTCTTAGAGAAGGAAGAGGAGGAGAAGGAGGAAGGGCAGAGAAGGTGCCAAGAGCCTGCTGCAGCCACTGGTGACCTTCTCTGATCTGAAATCCTTTAACTCCCTCGAGCACCCTCGCTGCCCCCATAGAGTTGAGGCACTGTGGTGGGGTGCTGTGTGTTTTTACAGGTTTTGGAGCGGGGTGTGGATCAATGTTGGGGAAAGAGTTGGATCTTTGTTCAGCTTTTCTTAAGCACTACATATACAGGTTTCATGGCCCGGTCACTCTTCTTACAAATCTGTTCATTTTGGAGCAAAACTGAACAGAATGAACGTCTTCTCGATAGCATTGGTGCCCCTTTATACAAGGGAGAAAAGTAGGCGGTTCAGAGAATCCCGCAGCTCCCTGATTTGGGGCAGCGTTAGCCAGGCTGGCGGGGTACCAGCCCCCAAGTGCCTGCGAATGAAACTTACCCTCACCCGAGCATCCTCCTCAGCCGGTACTTGGCACCAGGGCATGCAGGGAAAAAGCAGGGCCGGTGTAACCTATTCTGGCCCTGGGAGCCCTACGTGAGCGGGGGCGTTTCCAGGCGTTTCCAGTCAACCCAGAATGTCCTGCCCCAGCCCCTGGAATAACTCGACAGCGGGGCCCCAGGATCTGGCTCCGGGTCCAAGAAGCCAGGCTTCCTTTCGCTCAGTGATCATGGAGGCGACAGCCCCGTACCCTCGCGGTTCCCGGGCAGGGTCCCGCCGCCCCGCACTCCCGGGGAGCGAGAACCTGACAGTCACTTCCACCACTTCTCCCGGAGCACGGACCTTTTGGGACTCAGGATCGCGTACCTTCCGTGGGCGTTAGTGGTTGGTGGAGTTTTGCTGGGAGACGGGAGAAGGCGAGATAGGTATTATTTTTGAAAGACAGCGGAATAAATACAGAGAGAAAACTTAAGAAGAGTACGGTTGTGAAAAAGGGCAGGAGAGATTTCGTGGCTTTCGAGATTTGTGGATTTGGAAATCCAGAGTTCTCCGTTCTGACCAAAGTCCCTGGAACGCTATTTGCCTCCCTGCGCCCACCGTGGAGCAGGCCGGACTGGGGACAGAGAGGCAGGCGGCTGAGAAGTGAGATGGACGGGGCGGGCGGGAGGGGGAAGTGGTGAGGGGGCGAGGAGCTGCGCTTCAGTCTCTGCCAGTGATTTATGCCGGTTCCAGGCGGTCGAGGCGATGGTACGAACCCGCGCCGGGGTCAGGCCGCTCCGACGCCCTGCCGGCCGCTCTGCACGGTCAGTGAGCGGCCAGCACTGCTGCGTTACAAAGACCGGCGGGCGCAGGGGAGGAGCGCGCCACGGTCCGCAGCAGGCGGAGATCGGCGTGCTCGGGAAGGGCCGGGTCGCCCCCAGTGCGCGCGCGGGCGCGGGGGCTGCGGGGACGCTGGCGCGAGTGAGAGGGCGTGCGGGCGTGTGTGCTCGGGTGTGTGCGCCCTTTCACCGTAGCAGCCGGGCTCCAAACATTCCTTTCTGCACCGAAGGGTTCTCCTCATTGTTGTCTTTGTGCTCCAGTGTGGCCAACTTACTGGAATTCCTAACGTGGTTGCACAGCAGGGCTCCAGCTGACCGGACGAGTCAACCGCAATTGTGTATGGGGCCGTCCCCGCCGTTAATCCCAGAATAACTCTGGAGACGGGGAAAAGAATGAAGAGGAGAGGAGGCGATAAAGGGTGGGGACTGGGGAAGAAGGATCGCTAACGGAGCACGGTCGATAATTCCCAACACCGTATTAGTAAACTCACATATCCACATTATTTTCCACTAGAAATTCCTCTTTTCTCAGTGCAATCCCATACTCGTGCTGCCTGAGGCATCTTTTGCAGCCTGCACCATGCGTCTATTTATCTCTGGTATCTATTCCTGAGAATGCTAGTTTCTAGAATTTGTAGTATTAAATCTAAGGAGCAGCATCTGGGAAAGCCCAGTTCAGTGCAGCTGTAATTTAAGCTAGCATTGTTTCTGTATATTGCAAAAGTATAATTCTTTATTTTCCACATTTCCCTATACATATATGTATATAGGACTTTACAGAGCAATTAACAAAAGAGAGGAGAAGGTGCTGAAAAGTGAAATTCATTTTAGTAAATTTATGTTAGTTGACTCCTTGTCTATATTATTGTATTTATGCATCACCAAATTGCTGGAAATATTTTCAAAGCATTTGTCCCTATCCTGAACCAACTTCTGCTTCCTGCTGTGGGCATGAAGTTGTAAAATCCAACTTCAATTTGCTATTAATCCAACCCAGATTTGCCTGCCTCCTGAGTGCCATAGAGCCAACTGCCCCCTGGACAGCTCCAATCCGATGTCCCTAAGACCTCAAACTCAATATAATGGAGCCTGAACCATAAACTTTCAGTGTTCCTTATCTCAGTAAGGGGCACCACCATCCTCCCTAAAGGCCAAGGTCAGAATTGTTATTCTTGACTCTTCCCTCTTCCCCAATCTTATATACAATCAATCATGAAATTCTGTTAACTCAAGTTCCTCAATCCATTCACTTCTCTCTTAAACCCCCCCCACTTCTCTCAACCTCACTGCCAGTAGTCACCTACCTCTCTCACCTGAATTATGGCATGATCCTTATAATAGGCTCCTTGCTGTCAGTTTTGCTCCCTCCCATCCATCCATCTAGTTCCCATTCTGCAAGTAAATAATCCAAAGCGGTGTTTCCATCAGACTAGTGCTTTCAAACAAAGTTCATTAGCAATCAGAGGGTTATGAAATCAATTTAGTAGGTCAGACAAGCACTATTTTTAAGTGAAATAGAACAGAATAGAAACTAAAATAGCTTTTATGTGGAAAGGATATGTATTGTTTCACAAAACTCCTGTTTCAGATATGTATACTGTGTCACCTTGTAAAATATATTGCTTATACATCTCACTCAAAAGAGTTTAAGGTATTTCCCCACAAATTACTTATTAGTTAAAAAGCAAAAATAGTAAGAGAAGCAGAGAAAGCAGCAGATGTTTTAATAGGTTCTATTATTATTTCGGTATGGTAAGGTCAACAAATCAGATGACTGTCATTGGAAAGATGATTTATTATACTCACAGATCCCAAGAAAGGCAATAAAGGTCACACCACTAGGGGCCACATAGGGAACCACTGGAGTTGTTACTTGGCAGAGGAAAGGGGGAAATTGTGGGCAAGCACCTTTACTGTGATTTGTGGGAAAAGGAACAGGCAGACCTGGTGACCAGGCTTAAGTTTGTATTTGGTTTCTATTTGAAAAGCATTCCCTGGGATGAACTCCCAGAAGAAAGAGGCAATGAGGAAGATGCAAGGCCAAAGCAAGGGGACTCAGGCCTGTCACCAGGTCGTCCTGAACAAGGGGTATCCAGCATGTGAATACAGGGTGAGTGAAAGCATCAGGATTACAGAAGCTAGAGACGTGCTACATACAGCAGATATCACTTCCTCTCTGGCCCCTTCCCCTGAGGATCCAGACTTTATGGAATTGAGTTTAAATATCTAACAGCATTATTTCTTTATTTGCTAAATTAAAATCAGAAGCAAATTACATTGCTTGCATTACTATTTTGGTGGAATTATGGGAATTTGAAATTTTTGAATTGTAAATAATAAAGTTTCACTTTGTACATATAATTTGGGGGAAAAAGTACATGTTAAGAAATAAAAATTCATCCAATGTTACATAATTTCAAACCTACCCAGACAAATGCTTTGGCACCTGTGTTTATGACATTATCACATGGTTGTACCACTTCTGTTTGCAAGTAGAAATACCCACTATCCTTTGTTCGGAAGTACTTCAGATACGTGAGTTTTAAAATAACTATGCAAGGTTGAAATTACGTTATGTTTTCAGGGCTTGAGCATTCTAATAAAACATGACTTTCCCTATGCAGAATCCAAATTTAGCTCTCTAAACTTAGATAGGAAAATGGAGGCCTCCAAGGAACATAGCCAAGGTCACATAGCTACTGAGTGGTACTGCAGGAATTAAAACACACGTCATTCAGCTCCAGAGTCCATGACCTTCATGACTCAATTCTTATTCTTCCTGAATTCTACAAAACAGAAGTACCCTGTACTGTCCAAAGCATTTGGTCCTGTTCAATAGCTAAAGAACTCTTTTTCTTCCCTCTCTCTACTTTGGCTTCAAGTCAACACTGATTTTCTCATTACAACTGGTTTGGACATACGCTGGCCCAACTAACAGTGGTAAACACAGCAAGCTATCTCTGATATGCCACTGTCATCCTGTGAGCAAGTGGAGTTTGGATGTTAAGATGATGCTGAGGAAAAAGTTGCTTTCAGAAACTGTCCTCCTTTTGAAAAATACTTAGATTCTTGATTTTAAATTATATGATAAACCATGGGATACTTAAAAATATATATTGATTCAATGTTGGTGTAGGCATTTGAGATACAAAGAAAACTAAGACATGATCCTCCTATTCATGGATTTTACAATTTAAAAGTATAAGGGGAAGCATAGGGCACAGTGCAGTCCAAATATGAGCT